GGGGCACCTTCGGTCTCATTCGAGCTAGTGACGAATAACGTTGTTCCTCTTTTCTTCAACGAAAATCGGGGGTAACTCTATCTCCAATTTCACCCGTACACTCATAGTCCCCTCACTTTTCAGAGAATAGATTATAGGAGCGGCAAAAAGTGACTAATTCACCTTCCTTCGCACACCATAAGCAAGTTGACGAGTCAAAACGTCCCATCAATCACGTTGCTATGATTTTGGACACGCATCAGCCGCCGATTGATTATCCTCGATAGTTAATGAATGTGAACGTCATGCATTCATTATTCCTTCCCTATAAAAGCTTTAGTTTCCTTTTTCACTTTTTTACTTTCTGATTTCAAACCTCCTTAAGTTACCCTCGAAATTTTCATCTGTTCATCAATCCTTGAAATCTTCATAAACCGCTCTTCACATCTCTATATCTTTATATTTTATATTCAAACCTTCATACATTACCTTCAAATATTCATACCAAACCTTCGTACTAAACCCTCAAACCTTCATATTCTTAGTTAGATATGGCTAAGACTTCGAAAGCAGTACCCTAAAATACTATACATACGACTTCCTCTTCGGCCACTAGCACTGAGGTAGCACTTCCGGTAGTAGCCCCGGGACCTCCCCATATAGATTTCATCCATGAAGGTTGCTCTATAGATAACGACTACAAGATCGAGAAAGCCTTCGCACAAGGAGACCGAGGTGAAGAAGCGTGGAGGTACATCTGCTTCATCACCGAAGAGACACTTGAAGTAGTCCGAGAGGACTGCAAATGGGAAGGCAAGGACATAGTAATTCTCGGTCCCAATGAGGACATCACGATATATGTGGAAGGATATTTAAATGTTTACATGTATCCTTTCACGTTTGTCTCGGTTGATATGGTAATCCTAGAGTTCTATAAGAGGTACAAAATCTACCTCAGGCAGGTTCATCCATCTTTTTGGAGGATTGTGACACTTTCTGTCATATTGTAACAACAAGGAGGAGCCTGTGTTCATGGTCAACTAGCTGCTCTAAGTTTACAGCCCCCGAATCTTCCGAAGGGGGCTAATCAAAAATTCTCGTCGGGCAAAGAAAGCTCTCTTATCCTGCGTAGACGAGGACAGGGACCGAGCTGGCAGGGCAGGTTTGTTCGGATAAAGACCAAGGACCTCATTCCTTCCAAGTTCATTCCGTTCCCCGAGAAGTGGAACCCAAAACATAAGTTTACTTCCTCTTAAGTCGTCAAAGTACTTCTTTGTATCTACTCTTTTTTCTCACAATTTATTTTATTTGACATGCATCTGTCGCTAGAGTCCCCAACGAAGTCACACATTTTAGGGAGTGGGTCGAGGTCTTATGCATGTAACTCACTTATCCTGAGCATGAGTTGAGTAAGCTCTCGAAAGATAAGTGGGAGCTCATTCTCACGGTGAGTGCTCCTTTTTTTTGGTTGAATCTTCCTTTGGGTGATTGTTTATTCAGTCATTGTTATGACTAAGTCTTCTTTTTACCGGTATGCCCAAGACGACAAAACTTCGGAAAATCATCGATGTTGTGGCCTCGATCCCATATACAAAACCCTCCACTTTACAACGGCTCGCTGTCGATGCTGCAATGATGAAGAAGAAAAGATCCCCTGAGTCCTAAGACGCCTCTACCGAGGCCAGAAATAGGAAAAGGATTGTGCTCAGGGTCAAAAAGAGCATCAAAAAGGCTTCTGGTGCCTAGGTCCAGGATTTCGAGGCTCTTCATCGGCTTAAGGAATTTCCCAAGAACGATAGTGATATGGAGTTTGTCACTCATGAGCCGATTGATGCTGACTTGGAGTTAGTGGCCCCACGAGAGGATGTTCGATAGGTTGAGTCCTCTCCTTAGCTCGAGGAATCGAAGAAGAACAAGTAGCTACTACTTCACCGGAGGCCCCTCCAGTCCCCAGAGTAGCTTCTCCCGAAGATGATGCCGTCATCCACATTCAAGAATAGCCACCTTGGCTGGGGGCCACTTTAATGAAGCTTTGGCTGCCAAGGGAAAACCAACCTACTTATCCCGAGCTATGGATGATTCTCTCAACTCAATTTTCGAAGTTGCGGATGTCGGCATGCTAGAGGATTACTCTGGTTTTAGCCACCTGGAAATGCCAAAAAGGGCCGTGCAACTTAGAATAATTGGACCGAGTTTGAGCTCGAAGCTCGAGAAGCGATTTTTGTCCCCGTACGTGGACCTTGAGTGAAATAAAACGGTCATGTTCACAGTGTCAGCATATACTAGCATATTGTTTGGACCATACGGAGTGTCTATTTATCTCCGTTTCTTGGTAACTGAGGAAAAGCAAGTGAAAATGAACAAGGTAGATGGGCCAAATCTTTTCAACGAGGCTCAGAAAGCGTTGAATCGGGTATACCTCCTTACCTTTTCATCTTAATGAGTTCATGTTGCCTTAACGATTTCCTAACGATTTTCTTTCTATATCGCAGGCCTCAGTGCTTCACCATGAAAGATTTCACCGATCCAGTATGGAGGTGAGTCACCTTGAGTTCGAGCTCAAGGAGTAGGTCCGCCAAACAGAGATGCACAAAGATCTCTGTGAGCAGAAGGATAAAGTCCTTAGGGACATGGTCGACCACTCTACCTTCCAAGCCGAACTGGAGAAAGCCCAAAAGAAGGCTTCAAAAAATGAAATAGGACAACGCCCTTCTAGTTGTAAAGGTAAGAATACTCGAGATCGATAACGAGAGGTTAAATGCAAATACTAACACTTCCACCTCGTAGGTCCAGGAGAAAATAACTTGATCGACCAGCTTAGGTCCAAAATGAATAAGGTTAAGGCTTCAGATGATGGGTTGAGGGGAAACATATATCTCCTAGCATCGGAGCAGGATGCCACCAAGGAGGACTTGGCGTCGACCAAGTGCAGCCCCTAGTGGATAAAGAGAAGCCCGACAAATGGGCTTGGCTGAATGAGGAACTCAGGGCACAACTCGCCTCAGCTGTCACAGAGCGCGAGGCTCTCGGCTAAAAGTATATTGAGCTAAAGTCAAAATTGGCGGTGGCTTCGAACGAGGTCTTGGAAACCTAGGACATGTTGGACCAATACAAGACTGATGTCGAGATGGTCGAAGCCCGGATTATAACAAAGGCTAAGTAAGTGAAATGGTTATCTCGAAGGGAGGCTCTCGAAGAGGTCCAAGCCTGGGGGGTTGACTTAATGACCAGGATTTAAGTGGCCAAGAGGTTCGAAGCCGAGACTAAGGCGAGATACCAGCCCGAGGGTTAGGATAGCGAGTTGGGTTCCAATGAAGACTAGGCAGAAAATGCCTTAGCTTATTTTTGTCTTTTTTGTTTTTTGTGTTTGTACATTTTACTTTGGGGCCATTTTATCATGCCTCTGTAATACCTTTTGGTGAATATATATATATATATATATATATATATAAAATTTCCCTCTGTTGAATGAACTTTTTGTCCCTTTAATATCAGAGGTGCTCCTGGAATCTGATTGACCCTCGAATTGTAAGTTTCGAATTTCTTGTCATTCGCCTCTATCTTCTTTTCACAGAATTTCACCCATTTTGTCAACGCTTTGTGCATTTTTATCACCTCGAAAGTTTCCCCAAGTCTGGTACCATAAGGTTCTATGACAATTTGTTCCTCCCTCTAAGTTTCCTCTCCAACCCACTCGGGTTCGGCCACATTATGTGCGTGATTTTGACTCTTCAGTTATGCTATTGCAACTTGCTAAGCTTGCAACATCTAAAAATCAAACGTAAGCTAACTCCATCACCTCCTAATTCGGGTGCCTCGCAAGCCGATGATCGGGGTGCTTTGTGAGTGTTGTTATCGGGATCAATTGGTAGGTTGATTTTTATAGCAACCTTTGAATTGGCATCGACTGGGTCTGTGATCAGAATGTCGTTAGGGTCGATAGGGGATACACTATTACTTGTCACTATGTTAATTTGAGTGCCCATAAGATTTACTAAAGAACTTTTTCTTTACCTTGTTTCTTAAACTTGAAGAAAAGTAAGCAGTAAAGTAAACACAACGATTTTTACGTAAAAAATCACCCGGCTCAAAAGGTGCAAAAATCACGACCTACTACGTACGATTTTCAACTTCAACTCCACTAGAATAATGAGCCAAAATGTATCAATTACAAGACTATTATTCAATACTCTCTAGTACTCCTACTACGACTATTTGATTTACACGTTACTCTAACTTGTAAAGCAAACACTTACACCAACTCAGTAATTATTTGTAACACTTGATTACAACTCAACTTCCTAAAAAACACATTCATTAGACTAACTCAAAAAGAATACAATACTAGTACTCGATTAGAGTGAACAACATGTAATTCTTCAATTGATGTGTAAAAAGATACGTTCAGAAGTCCAAAATATATAGTATTTAAACGCCTGGACTTTGAGATCTTCTAGGAGTCCTATGTATACTCAACTTCTCGTTTGATAGGACTCCTACTGTTCCAAGGAGTCCACAAGTTTTGGGACTCTTGTGTCTCACTGAATTATTCGTATCTTCTTAGGCAACCACCCTTACCACATGCAAAAGCCTTCTTCCACCAAACTCGAGCCTAGATAACTTTAAGATAAAGTTATTATATTGCACAGATGTACAGTCATCAACCATAGGAGTTGGTCCTTTACCCTAAGGAGTTGTATCTTAGAACAGTTAAGAAGATATGTTGAGGATCTAGTTCTTCAAACATTGAATCTAAACAAACTTTTTTAGTCATCAAAATCTCAATAGTCAACAAATTTTCCCTTTTCGATGATGACAAAATTTGTACACAGTAGAACCAGGTAATGACAACAAGTACCATAGACAAACATACATATTCGCAGCCCCCAACCTTATCTTCCCCCTTTTGGCATAATCGAAAAACAAACAAATAGATGTTAGATAGATGAAGCATAGTTAATGTAAGATTCAAGACCATACAGGCTACAATACAAGCTTAAGAAATATAAAAGCAAAAAGACTAGGCTGAAAATCCAATACTTTGCAAAGCATTAAAGCAGTACAAGAGAAGACATTTAGTAGTGTCAAAAGAAGCCCAGTGCCTTGTCTTAAACCATTAGAATAAGATAAACTAAGCATACTGCAATCTACTCAGACTAAAACACAATAGAAAAAAAAGTTAAAGCCACTAGGATAGCAAAAGGAAATTAACGACACTGGGAAGGAAAAAGTTCATTGGCGAGAGGTTAGGGGGTCAATGCTTTCAAAAAAGTGGCAATCTATTGGGAATGAGCTTCCCTATGTCTTTTGAGGTTTTTCTTAAGCTGAATGGTTTCCTTTCTCGGCTTATCATTGCCTTCACAAAGCTTGACATTCTCTTTAACAGCCAACTCCAATCTCTTACCAAGTTCTGCTGCCCTATTGCTTCCAGGTAGAATAGCAGATCATGTGGGTCCCCTAGCCTTGATCTACTCATAGCAACACTGCTTTAGGGTAATAGCATTCAAAACATCATTGTGATTTCCATCCTTAAGCTTAGGCAAGGCAATGTTGAGCTTGCCAAATAGCTCAGTGAACATGAAACCATAAGGCATAACATACTTAGGCTTGGAAGTATCTGTTGCTCTTGCCATATGTTGAATCATCATGCTAGGGAGATTGATAGGTTTACCAGTGTCAAGCAGTTCCATTACAGCCATGTTCAACACGGTAGCTTCATGCCTTCTCTCATACCTCTGAAGAATGCAGGAATTGATAAAATGAAACAACAGCTTGTGGAAGGAAGTCATATCAGTCTTGTACACCTTCTGGAGAGCATCTAGTTCAACCTTTTGAAGAATTTTCTTGTGATCACAATGCTAGTGTCAACATCATTGTTTATGGTTAGCCATTTTTTCTTCAAGTAATTATCAAATCACAAATAAGAAATATTCAAAAGCATCCCCAACTCCTCAGCATCAAACTTTTCAAAACCCTTTAAATTACTTTTGACTACCTTCCCATCAAATTGGAAGTTTGCATAGAGCTCTACCAAAGCAGGAACACGTACAAGGGGGAAAGTTTTGACAAATATGTGCTTCCATCCTTGTAGCTCAAGTTTTTCAACCAGTAGAGCCATCCCCTTTTCATCAGTATTTGCAAGAATATTCCCATTAAGCACTTTGTTGTTCCTAAACTCTATGAATTTATTAACCACATTTGGCACATTCTTTCTCTTCTTTCATATACTGGCCCTTGTAGAAGGGGTAACAGTTTTTGTAACTTTGGCAACCTTTCTCTTTTGTGTAGAGGACTTTTCTGGCAAAGTAGACTCATACTCATCTTCTCCATCCAACATAACCACAGGTTCCATAACTGAAACTTTCTTCCTTGGCTTCTTGGAACCTCTTAACTCCTTAATGATTTTGTTCATCAACAGCCTTTCTTTTACTTCTCGTAATAGAGTCTCAGCAGAAGGAGCCACTTTTTTCCTTGTTGGGACTGTAGGCCTTGTTACTTTCACAGAAGTCTTTCTGGGTTTCTTTCCTACCTCAGACAATGACAAGTCATCTTCACCACTGCTGACCTCTTCATCTCCAGTGAAAGGAGTTAATAAGGGCCCAAGTTCTTTAGTCTTTTTCTCTCCACTTGCTTCTTCTGAAGGGGCTATGACAGTATTCCCAGTGGTCATAGAGCCTTCAGATTCATCACTCATATTCTCATTCTCTTTCTCACTTTCTTTATCTAGTCCTTCACTCTCACTTGCTTTTTCTTGATCCTCACCCTCACTCTCAGAATTACCCTCTTCTTCACTATTATTTTCTTCTTCTACATAATCATTTACTTGTTCACCTATCCTATCATCCGTCTCACTCTCCTTCTTTTCTCCAGAATTTCCCTCATTCTCACTCTTTTTCTCTTCATTAGCTATGTCTTAAATAGTATGCTTCTCATGACTGTCCACATCTCCTTCTTCCTTTTAACCCCCATTATCATCCTCATCCTCCGTCCAACTGAATAAAAGACCATCAGATGCCTCATTTTGCACTGGTTCTTTACTGCCTTATCCCTCAATCATAGGCACCACAGTTATGGTATCTACCTCTTTCTCCTGATTGTCTGCACCTTTTTCTACAATGAATTCCTCCATTTGTGGTTTCTTACTTGTGGATGGAAGAGTTTCAAAAGGTGCAACATCTATAGCGGATACCAGAACATCTAATTTTGAACGAGGAGTTTGTACCTTACTTGTAGTGACTGACACTGATTCCCCTTGAACTACAACTTGCTCGACCACTATATCTACCTGAGTCGAAGAACCAACTCCTTAGTAGCTCGTTACTTGTTTCTGCAATAAAGTTTCATTATTTCAGATTAGTATCATGCAACATAGATGCCAGCCAAATTTTCTAAGCAGTTGTGCATGCTTAATACAAGGATGAGTCTGAATCAAACACATTGTACTTAACTATCTAAATCTAATTATACTTTTTCTAGCCAATCATTGGGGTTCAACTAGTTAGAAGTATTGATTAGACCTAGGTCTAGTTTGTTCCTTTCAAAGTGATCCCTACTAAGCACTTTAGTAAAAATATCAGCAATTCGATCTTCAGTTATAAAAAGGTTGTCACACCTCCTTTTTACTACCCCCGTAAAGGTATAAGGGAGTTTTTTCCAATTTAAAGTGATAATCGAAATGGGATTTATTTGTTTAAAGATTCAGAGTCGCCACTTGGGATAATTTATGGTGTCCCAAGTCACCTGTTCAAATCCGGAATCAAGGAAAGATTGACTCTGTTTTACAGTCCGCAGACACAGAAATTCAGGTAAGGAATTCTGTTAACCCGGGAGAAGGTGTTAGGTATTCCCGAGTTCCGTGGTTCTAGCACGGTCGCTCAACAGTTATAATTAGCCTATTTACTTGATTTTAGTACATGTTTTAGCCTATGGTACATTTTAACTTATTAAATCGCTTTTAATTATTTTTTAGGAAGATTCAACTTTATTTAAAACACTCCTTGAACCACGCCACATGAAATGCACCCGCGATCAACGACACATTTTATTTAACGTTATTAAGAATTGAAGTTGGGTCACATAAAATGCACACCCGAGTTTAAGAAAATTGATTTAAATAGTGCGCCTAAAACAACTACGCACTTTCAAGTTTGCGAGGGCCATGGAAAAATTCAACTAATAGCATACCTCGATTTTAAAAGAGTTAGTGTTAATTACATGAGGGCCATGGGCTTTTCAACGTAGAGCACATGAAAGTCAAGCATGAACTTAACACCGTTAAATGAAACCTATAATTAAAGTATGGTTTGTGTCAAAACCCGGAGAAATTCAGTAAAGGAAAAGAGAAACCAAACAAATCATTTAAAATCAAAACATTAATGTTTAGGCTTTCAGTTAATTGAACGAACCCATGAATCCCAACAAAGCCTCAAGCAAATTTCACTTTTGAAACTAGAAATCCGAAATTAAAGATGAAGAAAGCAGAATATTTTTGTATTTTTTTAAAAAAAACTCAAATCCTAACTAATTCTAAAAAATAGAAACATTCTCTTGACCTTTTAATTCAAGTAAGACCCAACTTAAGATTTAATATATTTGGAATGAATAGCATGAGTCTAAACAATGAGAATGTTCTACAATTAACATAAGCACATAAGCCAAAGAACATGTCAAGGTTTAATCACTGTTTGTTCCAGATTCAAAATAACTTTAGGAAGGTTAACCTCTTCCTGTTATCATTTGAGCACGTGAAGTTCAAACACACATACATGTCTGATGAAAATTAACACTAACAACACTTCAAACTACCTAAAAGCATGAGCCAAAAATGAAAGAAAATGGACCTTAATATGGCAATGTTTTCTTTCCCTGTTTTCTGTCGATTCGAACTCAAACAAAGACCGGAGAACAAGACCTCGACAAATCCAAACGTCGCACCTCGCCGAACTCAACTGGAACCATCCTCGACTGATTCAAAAACACACTGTAAAACACACTATAACACACTGTAAAAACACACTGTAAAACACTGGTTTGCCAGATTTTGTGCAGGTTTGGACTGTTGGTCTGGTTGAGGTGGAGGAGCAGGGGTTGATCGACGGGTTTGGGGTCTCTAAGAGGATGAAGTTTAGGGGAAGGTCCTAGTCATTTATGGCTGCCTAAGCTCAAGCATGAAGGGGACTATGACCAGAGGGGTTTTTTCCTGGTTTTTTACTGAAAATTCGGCGCAGCTTTTTGTCAGCCTTAGGGTCTTTTTTGGGCGTTCATTTTTTGTATTTTTTGCTGAAGGAAAACGGCGGATTCCAATTTTTAGGTCCCCGTCTATATAGGGATTAGGTACTATTATATAGGGGTAGGGATTAGGTGGGTATGGGCCTAGGAATTATGGGCTTGGGAATTATGGGTTAAGTCCAAAATTAGGCCTAAAATGGGTTGCTCGAGCCAAAGTTTTATTCTTTCCTCGCAAACGAGATTAAAATACGATCTCATTTATTAATTAGTCCTAATAACTTATTAAAATAAGATTGAACATTAAAATAAATTATTTTTGGTATTTTTCAGGATTAAAATGACTACGAAATATTAATAAAACTATTTGTTTTTGTAATTTTAATTTTCTTGTAATAAAATAAAGAAAAAGAGTCAAAATCAATTAAAATAACAATATTAGGCCTAAATTAAATATTTAAGTACTAAAATATGAAAACTCTTGGGGAGGGTCAAAAATTACATATCTACAGTTGCTCCTCTTTGACTGGAAATGCGAAGAGTTTTCGGACAAAGAACGACTAGACAGGTTTTTTGACCTGACCCTTATTTAAGGAGACCAAAACTAAGAGAAAAGGAGAATGTGGTCGAGCCCTAGTATCTGAGTTGCCTACATATCCTTGGCTATAAAGGAATCATTCCACGTGTAGTTCAGAAGTGAGTGATGATGGAGTATACCAAGGTGGAGAGCTAGTCGAGGTATCGTTCCGCCGAGGTTCCGGTCCGCGGTCCTGATGTTACATCAAAAATCAAAACATGAAAAAGATTAGCTAAGCCTATCAATTACGAGTTACAAGATTTTTATCTATAAATCTTCTGAAGCTTGATCTTGAGTCTTGAGTGGTTCTTCATGCAGACCTTAGATTTGAACCTTGACGCTTGCTAGTTGCAGGTTCTAGTTCATCCTTCTTCATCTTTTTGGATCAAGACCAGGCATGCAGTGTTTGTGACCTCGGCCATGTCTTGTGCAGCCCACATCTTTCATCAACTTCTGCATTTGGATTTACTTCTTGCCTTTCTCTTTTTTTCTTTATTGTGACTAACTTCTGTTGATCACCTCGGACTGTTGACTCGCATTCTTGCCGCGAGCTACTTTTGTTGCTAACTTGAATTGTATTCTGAATTGAATTCTCTTATTCTCCAGGTAGGCGCCTTATTATTGAACTTGAACCGTCTTCCTTTGACTACTATTTACTTTCCTTTGTTCTCCGGGTGGGCTCGTGATTTCAGGCATTTGAATTATCTTCCTTTCCTCCGAAACTTGCCTTGTTCCCCCTTTGTTTTCCAGGTGGGCTCCTGATTGCCGAACTTCCTTTGAACCTTGTTGCTTCCCTTTGTTCTCCAGGCGGGCTCCTGATTGCTATCTTCCTTTGAACATTGCTGCTTCC